TTTTATCATGAAGGATGTTGAATTGTGTTAAATGCTTTTGCAGCACCTACTGAGAAAATATGATGTTTATCCTTCATTCTGTTAATGTGGTATATCACATTTATTGATTTGCATAGGTAGTACCATTCTTGCATCCCACGGATAAATCCACTTGGATATGCTGTATGAACATTTTAATATACTGTTGATTCAATTTGCTAGCATTTTGTTGAGGATTTTTGCATCTATATTTGTCAGGGATGTTGGCCTGTACTTTTCTTTTCTTGAAATATCCAAATCAGGCATCTTTGGTATTAGGGTAATGCTGGCCTCCAAATGAGTCTGAAAATGTTTCCTTCTCTTTAATTTTTTGGAAAAGTGTGAGCAGCATTGATATTAGTTCTTATATATTTGGTAGAAGTCACTAGTGAAACATCTGATCTTGGTTTTTCTCTTTGTTGGGAAATTTTAAATTATTGATTCAATCTTGATCTGTCCAGATTTTCTATTACTTCATGATTCAGTCTTGGTAGCCTGTGTATTTCTAGGAATTACACATTTCTTCTAGGTTATCCAATTTGTTGCTACATAATTGTTTATCATAGTCTCTTACAATTCTTTGTATTTCTGTGGAATCAATTGTAGTGTCTCCTGTTTCATTTACAATTATATTTATTTGAGTCTTCTCTCTCTTTTTTTTAGTTAGTCTAGCTAAAGGTCTGGCAATTTTGTTTATCTTTTCATGAAACCAACTAATTTTTTGTTGATCTTTTCTATTGTTTTTCTAGTTTCTATTCCATTTATTTGTTTTCATCTTCATTATTTCCTTCCTTCTTTAACTTTGGGCTTAGTTTGTTCTTCTAGTTCTAGTTTCTTGAGGTGTAAAGTTTGGTTGTTTTTTTTTAGGTCTTTCTTTTTTTCTTAATGTAGGCATTTATTGCTATTAACTTTTCTCTTAAAACTGCTTTTGCAGCATGTCGTAAGTTTTCGTATGTTATTTTCATTTGTCTCAAGATATTTTAAAATTTTCCTTTGATTTCTTCTTTGATCCATTGGATGTTCAGGAATGTGTTGTTTAGTTTTAATATATATGTGAATTTTCTAATTTTACTCCTATTATTGCTTCCTATTATTATTGCACATATCATGTGGGTGAAAAAGATACTCTATATGATTCCAGTCTTAAATTTAAGACCAGTTTTATGGCTTAACATATGATCTATCCTGGAGAATGTTCTGTGTATACTTGAGAATGTATATTCTGATGCTATCAGATGGCATGCTTTGTATATGTCTATAGTCCACCATAAGTGCTGTAGGCTTTATTAATTCTTTTTAATTGTTTTTCCTTTTTGTAATTCTGACTAGATAATTTCAAATGATCTGTCCTTGAGTTTGCTGACCTTTTCTTCTGCATGCTCTAGTCTGTTGTTTAGTCTGTCTACTGGATTTGTAGTTCATTCATTATATTCTTCAGCTCCAGGATTTCTGTTTGGTTCTTTTTTACGGTATCTTTTTCTGAAACTTCTCATTTTACTCAGGTATTATTTTCCTGATTTTGTAGAGTTGTCTATCTGTGTTCTTTTTTTTCTAACTGAGCTTCTTTAAGATGATTATTTTGAATTCTTTTTCAGGCAATTAATAAATCTCCATTTCTTTGGGGTCAGCTACTAGAGTTTATTTTGTTCCTTTGGTAATATCATATTTCTTTGAGTCTTCATGTTCCTTGAAACCTTGTATTCCTATCTTCACATTTGAAGAAGCAGTCACTTTCTCCAGGTTTTACTGACTAGGTTCAGGGAGAAATGTCTTCATGAGTCAGCCTTGCCAGAGATACTGGGAGTCTCTTAGATTCTTTCTATGGACGCACTTGCTCCATTCCTCTTGTTCCCTGTGAAGAAGTCTTAGACTCTGTGCCTTCTCTTGATCCCACAAAGCCAGGCCAGGTGTTGAGAGCCTCCTATTTATTTCTCTAGGGCAGTACCCTGAAGTGTTTGTTCAACATTGTGCCCCTTTTCGCAATCCAGCAGATTCAGCTGGATGCCAATATCTGTGTGCTGTCTGTGGGAGCTCGCACGCATTGTCTGCAGGGGAGCATGGAGTGTTGGCTACAAGAGGGGACTGCATGGAGCACTGCATGGTGCACAGTGGCTAATCATGGGGTCTGCAGCTGGGGGTCCTACTGGGTTCATGGTCAGGGCTCTTATTAGAGTCTGTAATCTAGCTAGTAGGATCTGCTGCTGGTTGTTGATATCTGTATACTGGTTTCTATGAGCTCCTACCCTTTTTCTCTACTCTTTGCTGTCCCCAGATTATTTAGCTACTTCAATCCTCTCAATGTTCTGGGTGTGGAGAGATGGAAATGGGACTCTTGGACACCTTCCCGCAAGGCTGGGGAGCCAAGTGTTCACTTTGTTTTTGCTTTTCCCAATGGGAGAAGTTGCAGGCCAAGGTGAGTCTCTCTTGGTCTGAGCTGTGTTGCCTTGGGAGAGAGGTGACATGGGTAAAATGAAACTGTTCTTCTTACCCTCTTCAGTGCTTCTGTTCTTTGATGTTTTTGTTCCACGTGGTTACTGGAACCTCTCAGTTGTTTTCCCAGGCTTTCATAAAGGTATTCTCATTATTGTTATTGTTAAAATCGGTATTTCTTTAGGGGTATGACATACGGAACTTCCTATTTCATCATCTCACTGATGTCCAGAAGAGATCATTCTTTATTTCAGTAGGTCTCAAATATCCAGTGATATTTCATAGAACATTAAAGTTATTTAAGTAACCTCACCTTTTAATTGACTCAGTGACAAAGTTAGTGAAAACTTCTATAGGATATGAATAGGGCGACATTAGATTTAGGCAGAATCAAGAGGCTGCATGTGAGCATCAGACATCAGAGCAGGCAATGGTTTGAGTTTAGATGAGCTTGGAGAATCTGAGTCTTAAAAGTCTTAAAAGTCAACAAACAAGTAGAAATCCAAAGGCTAGGATAGTTTGGGGAATGGCTGTGGAGAGCAGGAACTGGGATGAACTTATTCCTACAATAGAGGATGTTTTCTGACATGAAATCACAGCCAGAACACCTAAAATTACTAGTTTCTTCTTGTAATACTTATAGGTGTATAGATTGCAAATTTAATCAACTTTTCCTATCATTACAATGCTGGAAGCAGGATAACTGTCCCTATTACATCTACTAATTGCATTTGAGCAATCAAAGAAAAATTCTCTTGCCCTCAGTGTCTCTTTTTAATGATGATGTCACATTGGAGGGACATTTTCAAAAAGGTTTTAATTGGTCAATTATTGTTATGAAAATTGGAGTGGAATGTTTGTACTAAATTAGTGAGCCAAAGAGGACATGGTAAAAATGGCAAATGAAATAAGGAGGTATATTTAGATGTAAATGAATCCTTGTCTGATGGGAAAGCCCATGGTTGGGATTATCGTCTCACCAAAAAAATTATGCATTGGATAAAGAAAATGTTAAATTTGGCATTTGTAAAATTCATTTCTTTTTAAAAATTTGTTTCCATCTAAAAGAGAAAAATGGAGATACTCAGTAGAGAAGTAGAAAAATAGGAAGGAAATAGAGGCATGAAAGGAAGAATTCTTCTGAATAATTTTAAGATATTTAAACAATTTTCTATAAGATCTATTTCTAGTTTACATTTTACATATCATATAATATGTGAACATTACACAGTACTATTTTTTCTTTTTGTATAATTGTTTTAATATTATTTTTCTTTCCATAATGATTTTCTGTCCCTAACTTGGCCTAGAGCTGTAGCTTTTAAAATTTTATCCTGGCTACTTTAGATTCCCTAATATTTATCATAATATGATATAGTACAACCATCAGTGTAAGATTATATCTATACACAATATACACACACAATATACATATACCTCTCTATATATGTAAATATATATGATTGTGCACTCTGAAGATCAATGATTTTCAGTGTGTATATTTGTGTGTAAAGACTCACACATGCACACACATTCTGAAGATCACTATATGATTTCATTTTATGTTAAAGGTTCTACAGAGAGCTTTCATTTGATACTAACTAGTTCTCCAATTATGACATTATGCTCAAACCTTGAAAGGCTTCCTCTCTTACTGTATTTTAAGAAAGGATCCTTAGAGCCTCATATTCTCCACCTTTTCTTCAAAGTCTGTAGATTATCTTGACTTCTGTTGCCTGAAGACATATCTAAAGGAAACCTTAAAACTACCATGTCAGATTTCAATGGTGGGAAATGGCTGGAAGTTATAATCAACAGGAAGATGGAATTTTACTTTTAAAATGAATAATTAAAATTTAGAATTCTCTTTGATACGTTAGTATTAAGGTTAATTTGATTGTATGACTTACAGTGAGGCATAACGAAAACAGTATTGAATTAGGTATTATAAGACCTTAATACTTGTTTGAGCTTCACCATTTAATAGCTTAATGACCTTGGGCAAGACAGTCTCAGCCTCACTCACCATCAATTGAAATGTGTGGTTAACAATATCTTTACTGCCCACCTCTTTATAGTGTTGTCAAGATGAGATAATATATGTGAAAATATTTTGTAAACAATGAAGTGCTAAATGAAAATTGTAAAGAACTGTTAATATGTGCCAGACGCTGTATTAAGCGTTCATATCATTCTTACAGCAGTTTTATGAGATAAACAATGTTAATATTCCAGTTTTACACATCAGGAAGGTGAGGCTTACAGTACATAAGACATCTGAGTGAGCTCACACCATTAGTGAATGGGAAGGGCAAGATTTGAATACAGATTTGGCTGACACTAGAATCAGTGCTCATAATTTCACAATTTTTGTCACTGCCCTGAATAATAATTGCTTTATAGAATGGTACATGAACTGGGTGAGGCAGTAAAAGCACAGTTGTCTTTATCATCACATATGAATTCCAAATGTGAAAACAAAATACTAATTATTTTTTCCTAAAAATAGAATATCATGGAGTTCTAACCATCTAAATGTGTTTTTCCTTTAGAATTTAATTGTCTTGGATCCACTCACAGTGACTGAGGAGGAAACAAGACCATCCCTAGAGAAACGCCTCGAAGCCATTATCAGTGGGGCTGCTCTGTTGGCTGACTCTTCATGCACGAGGGATTTCCATCGGGAGCGAATTATCGCAGAATGCAATGCCATTCGCCAGGCTCTCCAGGACCTGCTTTCAGAGTACATGAACAATGTAGGTAACTGGTTTTCCCCCACCCCGTCCATTGGGTATATGCTGAGGTTCTTTCGGTGTACAAAATCTGATAAATTACAAATGAGTACCTGATTTTACATGGATTGGCCTTTTGGGTGCATTCTGCGCGGGTTGCTCTCAGAGTGCAGCAAGGAGACAGGAGTTTCTAGGGATGGAATTCAACCAGAAGGTTATTTATACGTGATCGTTTTGCTTGAGACAGTATCTAAATACTAGTTGAAGAAGGCAGTCAGGACTGGAGAAAGGAAACTGGAGTTGCACATCAGTTTAAAGGATAAAAAGTAGACAAAGAAAAGGGCAGGTTGCTTCAGATTATGTTGGTGAATAACAAGGTTAGAATTTAGATGGTATTGGGATAAAGTCAATGCTGTAGGGATTGAGGGCCATTTTTGAAGGTGTAATTTGGATCGCTTTCAACCTTTTTCAAATGTGACAATGTCATAGATTTTTTGCAATTTTAGCCATCTCTCAGGAATGTTAGAAACAATGTCTAAATTTAGACAAATGCAAAAGTATTTGTTTCTAGGTCCTTTTGATATAATTTCATATATATATATATATATATATATATGATATATTCTTTTTGTATATATATCTACATCCATCTATGGAGCATCTATGACTACTCTTACATTCAAAACTTAGTTGTATTTTTAAAATAAGGAAGACATTGTCAGTTATATATTGATCATGAATATTGACTCCTTAAATAATAGAGGTAAAAAAAAGAAAAATTTAAAATGGGAATATTTTGTTCATCTGCTTTATTATAAATGGAATAATTCAAGAGTTATGAGGGTATATTTTGAAAATGATTAGTTACAAAGCATACGATTTTTTAGGTGTGAGATTGAAGATTTAGGATTTTTCAGTATAAGTAATTTATGTGAATAATTCAAATGTGCTAAAATTAGTGAGTTTTAGGCTTCTTCAACACATTTGATGTATCTCCACACTCTTAATATTTGATGACTTTGGCTTCTGACCAAAAATCTCTTGCCTGTCAAGAAATCACAGTTGTAAAGCAGATTTTGTTAATAAGAGGACCATATTAGTAATGTCATGTCCTGCTTCTGAAGCTGGAATATCACAATTTTTAGCATATAATATATTTTTAAAGATTTTTAAAGAGAATTCATGAGTTACAAGAAACTCAGAAGGTAATATTCTGTTGGAATTCCTTCTCCCCTGATCTGTAAACTATTAAAATTAGTAGTTTCATTTTATAGATAAAATATGGTAAAGTTATACATAAGTTTATTTTATCTATAAATTATAAAATTATAGATAAATTTACTTTATTAACTATAGAGAAAGTTATTCTATTCTTTTAAATACAAACATAACAGATGCACATGCACACACTCACCCACATACATAGGCAGAGATGGCCACGTAATTGTGGAGCCCAGTGCCCAGTGCAAAATGAAGATGTAAGGCCTGTTCAAAAGCCGGGAAAAAAAGAAAGTTTTTTCCTTTTTTTTTTAAATTCTTTATTGACCCAAGAAAGGTTATTTTTATTTGCTATTTAATGTTTGGTTTTTGGTTCTCTAGGGTATAGGGATACTTTCGGACTTTTGGGAGCACCTAGACCCTCACAGATTTCTTTAGCCTTACTCCATAACCCCCACCCATCCTGCCTTGTACCAAGGGCCCCACCAGGAATGGAGGGTGGCAGCAATTGCTGGGCTGTGGAGCAGGTGGCTGAGGACCTGTCCCTTGAAGGCACTGGGAGGCAGGACTGCATGTTAAGTCTAGGGCGTATGCTTTATTGCCCCATCAGACTTCACTTATCTACACAAATTGAAAGGTAAAATTGTTAAGACTTTCAAAACTGTGATAGCGGAGCATTAAAAGCCAAACACAGGGCTCCTTTCTGAGCGTGCTGCCTTTTGTCCAGTGGCAGGACGCTGAAGTTGCTCTTGTATGTAGTAAACATATACCATATAAAAATAATGGTGATTTTATGGCTTTCTTCAACTTTGGGTTAAAAACTGTTCATACAAAGGGTGAAGTGATGGGCACATTCTGCCCTGGGTGCAATCATTAAGAAGATGCATTGCCTCTAGAAATTTATAAAAAATAATAAAGCCAACTAAAAGTTGGTCTGCACCAGCAATTCTCAAAGTCAGTGATAATGTTTTTCATAAATTCGTTTTTTCTCTAAATCCTAAATAATTGCTGTAGTTATTGTTGAGTTTTAATAATATATGTGTATGTATGATTCAAATTAACACATTTTTATGACTAACCTTTGATAAACATTATATTCTTTATGGATTTAAACAGCAGATTCAGAATAAACAATGATGACAGTGATTGTAAAGACAGAGAACTAGAGTTACTTTAATTCTGTTATTTCATGTGATCACTTGGAATTTAAATTTTAAAATTATAACAATGAAACAGTGTGAATTGCAGGGGGTAATATTTTTGTTAGGTAAGTGTAAATTTCATACATGAACTATTTCATTCAATTTGAATAGTAACTTTGAAATTTGTTTTCCTTCTGAAAATTGTCAGTTGCTTTAAAGAACAAATCAGGAAAATAATGATTATCACTGAAAAGTAATTTTGTCATATAGAGGACGGGGGCATTTAAAAATTATCTGGGTATCAAATATGCTAAGTGAGGCACTGAAAATATGTATGCACTTTTGTACATTTACTGCTTTTTTTCTTAATGAGGTTTTAATCTGATGTTCAGTTTCAAGGCCCATTTGTCAAGTATACAGAACTTATTTATGTTACTAATATCCTTCCGTTAGATATTTTGGTTAATAAAAGGTAAGTTCTGTGTTAGAAGAGTGAAGTGGAAAGACTCTTCCATCTATAATATCCAAATAATTGAGATCAAAGGTAAGTAGCTTTTTTTTAGCTTGTCCAGATAATTATTTTAATTTTAATTTTTTAAGGGTAGACCTAATTGTAGGAATTCAAATATTTCTCACTTATTTAATTGATTAGATTGCACTACTCTTCATGCGTGATGGAGACTTTCTTCTTCCTTCCTCTCTCCCCCATGTTTCCTCTTCTCTCCTTCCGGCAAAGGAGTACAAACATCCCCTGAAATATCTCTCCCTCATGGCACTTTCCCCTTTATAACTCTCATTCCTGGTGGAATTCCTGTGTTGCCTTCTCCACTGGTCAGAAGCTCTAGGAGAGCGAGGGCTGTGTCCCTGGCCCTGCCACTGAGCCTTTCAGGTAGCAGGTGCTCAGTAATTACTATTTGGATACAGGTAAATTGAATTAGCACTTGCTTCTTCTCAGTTTTTAAAATTAAAATGGCAATGTGCCTGAAGCAATTAATTTGTAATTATTTATTTATATGGTAACTGTGGAGAGAATGTAGGGAGGGTTAATAGTGAGAACAGGAATACAAGAAAGAGCGAGCACAGAGGTGAGAAAACTTGTTCTGTGGGTGATCTAAGAATATTTATATATTGCTTTTTCCCAAGGCATAATGTTAAGTACTTGTTGAGGAAGGCATTTTTCTTCAGGGAATGAAAGACTTACCGTGTGTGTGGGTAATGTCTGGTGACCTGCCCTCATGTTGGTGTAGAGATGAGAGCAGGAGTTAAGTTATACAGCGGTGGTTCACAGGATCAGAAACCCATTTATATATTAACAATTTATTGATAAGTACAACCTATTAATAAACAAAAATATGCATTTATATCATTATGAAAAGCACTCGAAAAGCGGTATAATAGTTCCTTTTTATATAAAAGTGCAGAATTTTAGGCTTAATGTGACTATCTGACCAAGCCAATGAATATTGGAATTAAAAAGCAGGAACCAATCTGGAAAAACTGTGGGGTGGGTGTATTATCAGAACACATTTCCAGGTTTCTTTTTACTCTACGTTTCTATCACCAATAATGCTTCTCTATAACTGTTTCTTCAGCTTTAACGGAAGGGAATGTACTTCCCTGAAACTAGCTGAACTCAAAACTTTCTCAGTTTGCTCAAAAATTTTAGGACAACTCTCATACTTAAGTTCTCAACTTCCTAGTTTAAGGAATGTTGTGTCTCATTTGGTGGGCCTGATTTGCTTTTCAGATTAGTTTGGAGCTTTTGTTATTGACCTATGTTGATCAAGTAAATGCTTAAATATAATTCAGATGCAGTAAAGATAACCAGGAGAAGTTAAAGCACAATTAACTCTCATCAGGATCTGTGGATCTTTTATGTGAATGTGACTTCAAGGCTTCAAATTTTGCAAGTTTATTGAGTCCAGAGCAGTTCAGTAGTGGGGAATAAACGCAGTTTATGTTGTTCTCAGGCTCAGTTCACATGACCAGTTTGAGTCTTAAATAACTTTACTTCCTTAAACAGATCAGCAAGTCTCGATCATTTTTTGACTGAAGCTCTAGGTTCAATAAGTTCAATGTCTTGTCACGTTAGTAAGAAATTAGCAGGATGTGAGTCCAGATGGGTCTATAACAAATAAAACAGACAACCACCTAACCATATGATCATATATGTTTGCTCTAATATTTTCATTCTAAATATACGTATATATTAGTTTAAATATATATATGTTTTCTATTGCTGCTGTAACAAATTATCACAAACTTAGTGGTTTAAAAACAACACAATAATTATTTTACAACTGTGTAAGCCAAGAGTCTGACACATGTGTCAGTGGGTTGGAAATGAAAGTGTCAGTAGGGCTGCATTCTTTTCTGGAGACTGTAGGGAGGAATCCATTTCTTTGCCTTTTCCAGTTTCTGGAGGTCACCCACATTCCCTGGCTCAATGCCTTCTTCCTCCATCTTCAAAGGCAGCAGTGTCACATTGTTCTAACCTTGCTTCTGTCCTCACATCTCTTTTTCTGACCACAGTCAGGAAAAGTTTTCCACTTTTTAGGACTCATGTGATTAGATAGGGCCCACCAATATTATTCAGGATAATCATCCCACCTTAATTACTTGTGCAAAAGTTCCTTTTGCTATGTAATGTAACAGTCACAGGTT